GCTATGAGTCGGGGCCGACTCGACGGCACATAACAACAACAACAACCCTCTATAACTGTGTGAGCCATTTTCCTATGTATGAATTTTTCTTAGGGAAATGGCTCATATAGTTACAGAGGCTGACAAATCTCAAGTTCCTGTATCAAACATCAAGCCGGTGTATTTTCCTGACTCATGCATCTTCTGAGGCTGACTAGCTCAAGATTGGCTGGCAGTATAACGGCTGTTGATTTTGGTGGATTATGAATCCAAGATCCCCAGACAAAATGGTGGATTGTTTGCTCACAGGAGAGTTTTAGGCAGCATAACAGAATCTAGATCCACAGAAGGTTCTGAATTTTCTGAGGACGTCCATATATATTTTGGAAACTGGCCACATCCCTAAGAAAATGCCCTTTCAACTGATGGAGTACTCAGAGCATATATATCAGATCTCATCAGGGGAACAACCACATTACAACTGCTTAAACCACTCAGAATTTTGGTCCAGCCATAATACATAATACATACAACCCCAACTATCACATGCCCATTTGTTGGTGGAGGCTTATGTGTTGATATGGTACTGAGTGAGTTTCAGTGGAGCTTCCAGACTAAGATGGCCTAGAACGAAAGGCCTGAAAATCTACTTCTGAAAACTAGCCATTGACAACCCTGTGGATCACAATGGTCTGATGCCATTGTGCATGGGGTTGCCACGAGTTGGGAGACAGCTTAATGGCAGCTAACAACAATAACAACATCAATTAACAGAGTAAGATTCTTGGAAAATTCAATGACTATTAAAACTATGCATTTATGCATTCAATGTATTTAATATGTACCATTTTACATATTAACTCTATTAACTCAACTTTATATCTAATACCATTTTACTAAAGTCTGTTGTTAGGTACATTAATCTCTGTGGGATATGGGGCTGTTCTCTATTTTTCAAAACCAGCCATGTGTTGCAGAACGTTTCACATATATGACCCCTGTAAATGCTGGTGGCATTACCTCAATGACAGTGATAACTAAGACTTCCAGAAATTTCCAGAGTTTTAAAAATGCTACCTCGGTAGTGTTATGGCCTATTGAGAATCATCAGCTTGGAGTGAAAAAATGAAACAAAACAAACCTTTTCACATAATAGGATATTTCTAACTAGAGCAGGAAGAATGACAATTATTAATTGCTACCATTTATTGGAGTATCAAATGGAGACATTTCCAAGATCTTAAATATTTATATCAAGGTGAGGTAAAAGGATTTTTTCATTTCTAAGTGTTTCAAGGGTTAGGTAGCCAAGAACTGAGTCTACTAAAGGCATAAACTTCAGTGTCTGGTGAATGTAGTAACTTTGTAAAACTTGGGAGAAATTTTAGCTTTCTGGGCTCAATAGGCAATACTACACAGTTCTGATTTTTATGTACCTGTTTCTGAGTAGGGATGGAGTTTATATGTTGAAGTGTTTTACATTACATATTACAATGACCCATTGCTACAATCAGGAGGAAATCCATTTTAGCCCCCCTTGTCCTTCAAGCCAGGAGCTCTGGTGGTTTAGTGGTTAAGGCACTTAGCTGCTAACCAAAATGTTAGAACTCATCAAATGCTCCATAGGAGAAAGATGAGGCAGTTTGCTTCTGTAAAGAATTCCAGCCTTAGAAATTATGGGGCAATTGTACTCTCTCATATAGGGTCACCATGAGTTGGAATTGACTCCATGGTAGTGAGTTTTGGGTTCTCTTTCAGCCATTGCTGTTTCACCTTAGACTCTCTTTCCTTTGGCAATATAGCCTCATGCTTAGGCAACTTAGTTGATAGATTTGGGAAGAAATTCATTTATTTATGTGGATATACCTGACTTGTATTTTTAGTCAGAATTGGGACTGTAGCAAGTTCTAGGTTGCTTCAACCCTTTTTTTGGTTTGTGCTGTTGAGAAATATTAAATTTTAAGTGGTACCTCATTCTGTGTGCTCAGCCTTTTGTAATTTACAACATTCAATAAATTAGTAAATACACATTTTTTATACTAAACCAAAAAAACCAAACCTTTTGTGATTGAGTCGATTCTGACTCACGGCAATGCCATAGGGCAAAGTAGAACCGCCCATAGGGTTTCTAAGGCTGTAAATCTTTATAGACGCAGGCTACCTGATGCTTTCCCCATGGAATGCCTGGTGGGTTTGAACTGCTGACCATTTGGCTAGCAGTTAAATAAATACTTTAACCACTGCCACAAGAGCTCACATATTTTTTGATAGATGTAGGTAAAAGACAATTAAAATTATAGAATACTTTGCCTTTGATGATATGTGTTTATAGCTACCAGAATCTAGAGAGTAGTTGCTTTATTTATTATTATAATTTTTTGTGATATACAGAGCAGTGCTTTCAAGCCGTGCAAGCTAGGTTCAAGTATAGCCACTTTATTTTTATTTTATATATATATGTATATATAGGGGGGGAGGGAGTGAATCTAAAGATCTTATAATGAGTGGAAATCTCTAATAATGTATAATGACAAATGTGATTTAGTAGCCTGCTGTGAATTTAGAGACCTTTTTCTGTTAAGTATTTGTCAGTTACCTAGTGCTGCTGTAACGTAAATACTACAGGTGGGTGGTGTGGTAGTTCAGTTTGTGTGTCAACTTGGCTGGGCCTGGTTGAATGGCTGGGCAGCTGAATGTAGTATTCCCCATGATGAGACTGGTAATCAACTCCATGGTGGAATCTACTGGGACCAGCTGAGTAAACTGCCTTAGGGAATGTGGTCTGCTTCCTGTATATAAGCAGAAGCCTTGGGGAATGGTCTCTAGGTTATGGCATGCTTGGACCCTGCATGCAGCTCTGTCGTTGTTCAGCAGCCTGCTATGCTTTGCTGACCTTGGGACTTTCAGTGGACTTGAATTAATGGCCTGTAGTGTGGTTTGGTAACATTGGGACTGTGCCACTTTATTTGTCGACCTTGGGCTTGTTAGTCTTAACAGCCAGTAAGTAGCTGCCTGAGTGAAAAGATGCCTGTAGCTTCAGTGGGCTGGGACGGACTTTCACCCAGCTATAGCCTGATGCTTGGAACTTGGACTTAAAGCCTCCAAACTATGAGAGAATAAACTCCTGTTTGTTAAGGCCATTCCATTTGTGGTATATTCTTGTCAAAGCGTCACTAGGTAACCAGAACAGGTGGCTTTAAAAAAGTAGGAAGTTTTGGTATAGTGGTTAAAGCATACAGCTGCTAACCAAAAGATTGGTGGTTTGAACTCATGAGCTGCTCCACATGAGAATAATAAGGCAGTCTGCTTCTGTAAAGATGTACAATTTTGGAACCCTGTGGGGGTGGTTCTACTCTGTTCTAAAGTATATTTAGGAGTTGGAATCCACTCTATGGCAGTGAGTTAGGGTTTTTTTTCTTTTGTTGTTTGTTTGTTTCAGGAGGCTAGAAGTTTGAATTTAGGGCAAGATTTTTTTTTTTTTTTTCTTTATTGTGATTTGGCTGAAAGTTTACAGAGCGAATTCACTTTCCATACAGCAGTTCACATATATCCTGTCTCATGACATTGACTACAATTTACCCCAATGCAACAACTTCCCTCCCACTCCCTCCCGATAGTTACCTCTTCCCTATGTCCATCCCTCCATGTATTCCTGCCTCCTGAGCTGTCTCTCTGTGCATAAACAGTCCTTCTTTCTTCCATGATTGTTCTCTCCAAGGAATGTATCCACCCCAGGCAAGTGTTCACCTCATATGCCTGTCTTTTGTTTGGCTGGAAGCCACAGGTGTGGGTTCAATTTTAGACCTGAAGGGCAGCTAGGGTGCCCTTAGTCTCAATGGTTCCACAGGCTCAGCGAACTTGGTCTCCCCCACCCCCCAAATTTTTTTTTTTTCCAGATGATTTTGGGTTTTGTTCCGTATTGTTCTCCCTCCCTAACCAGGATCTACATAGATCCCCCTCCTAGTGGTTGACAGTGGTAGCTGGGCACCATCTAGTTCTTCTGGCCACATAGGCACACAGGTTGTGGATTGCACGGTGCACCAGTTGCCAGGACTAATTGTTTCCATGAATCTTTGGTTTTCTTCATTCTTCTTTGCTCTGGATGAGGATAGACCCATCATTGCATCTAGATAGCTGCTTGCAAGCTTTTAAGATCCCAGTTGCTACTCTACTCATAGCGTGAGATTCTATGAAGTGCTTTGCATTCCTTGTAGTTTCTTGGCATTCCTTGGCAACTGCCTTTCCCCTTTGTGTCTTCCTTGCTATTCTGGTGTTTTTTATAACTCAGAATTAATTAGGTTTAGATTCTACATTATTCTGTCATAATCTTATTAGCATAAAAAAAGAAACCCCCTTTTCCCAAATGGGTACAGAGGTTAGGATGTGAACACATATTTTGGGGATATAATTCAATCCATAATAGTATTTCGACTGATAAAATGATCTGCATATTTTGTATTTTGTTTCACCAGCGCCTTTCTCTTCTTACTCCAGGCAGAACTACACGTAAATCATTCTGAAACAATTAATGCTGCTTTAGTCACAAATTATTGATTTTCTCTTCATAAAGAGTATATAGAATTGCTGTTCTACTTAGATTCTAAAATGAGACTTTTTAATTGTGTTTTCCAGGAAGATATGAATTTAAATGAAGATAAAAAGGCACCATTGCGGGAAAAGGACTTCAGTATCAAAAAAGAAATGGTGATGCAGTACATTAATACTGCTTCTAAGACAGTAAGTAAAACTGTCAAGTTGAAAAATACTGCTGAGACATGTAATGTGGAAGACAATGTGTTTGTCTAATGAAGTGCTTAAGTTTGTGGGCAGCCATAACCAGAGGGCTTTTGCGTGTATAATTAAAGGCATGAGTATTATAACAAGTTTGTTTAAGTTAAAATATTTTCCATCTTAAAACCTTTAAACTGTTTTTTGTTTTTTAGGTAGTCACATTGCTAAGAAACACTGTGGTTGGTTGCTTCACACAAGACACCTTTCCTTGTTAGTGTATTAAGATGTTTATTTATTTCTAATGTCATTTATAAATAGGAATATTATTTGTGTTGTAGAAAAGGGAGAATGTGATTTTCCTCTAACAACCTTAATCAAGACACATATGGCTTAAAGGCATATCTTTAACGTGAGTTTCTCTATGGATGAAATTGTCTTGTAACAAATTATAAGTCTTGATATTGAAAGGAGCATTAAAACTCCACATGGCTGTCAGTTTTCCAAGGAAATATGAAATATGTGGGTGGAAGTAATGACTAAATGTCTAAGAAACTGTTAATGGCACAGAATCAATTGCATTTATTTCATGGAACAACAAATGAGCTTGACCAGTCATATAAAAATTGTGAATAAATAGATTGGATGAAAATGAAAAATGGAAGGTAATAAGGAAGGGATAGGTAGAAAGACAGTAGAAAATGATTTTGGTTGAATTTAAAATAGAATTAGAGAAAAATAGCTTGACACACTGTAGTTTTCGTTGAATACTTTAACCTAAGGCCAGGTTACAAGAATATAAGTTATTTATACTTTAACTGCATTTATCTACCAGAACAGTCAGTGACTGTGAGGTATTTCTTTTGGAAGAAAAATTCAAGTGGCATTTAATTTTTAAACATGCTTCAAGTTTTGACAGCCCAAACTTAAATCATTGTGGGCCCTTTTTCTTGCTCTCTGTATAGTTGAACTTTGTATGCTTCTACTGTGATATTAATTGCTTTTGGCCCTTAATGATACTTGTTGTTGTTGTTGTTAAGTGCCGTCGAGTCGTTTCCGACTCATAGCGACCCCATGCACAGCAGAACGAAACACTGCCCGAT